TGTTGCGGCGAGGGGCTCGTGAAACGTTTAGAGGGCTTCGAAACCTCCAAACCTCTCCCCTCCCCCTGCCTACGTTACACGCTTTCCCCTCTTCTCATATATCAGCTGATCTTCCAACATCTTATCTCTTTTTGTACAGGAATGTTTGGTGATAAGCAAACCTACCACTAAAATTCGAAAGTAATTTGTAATTTGAGTTGAACTTAGGCGAAAAAGTAATTAAAGTAAACTACTAAGCATCGAAATGAAAAATCTAATTAAAGGTTACTAAACTACTCCTAAAAGTAGTCAAGCTACAGTAGCTTGAATACAATGGACAGCGGACGTTCCCCTCACATGGTCTGTAAGATAGCTTGTTTCCTGTGCTTGATAGGACCGGAAACGACAATCTCGACGAACGCGTGCACGACGAGCGCCAGAGGTTTTTTCGCGAATTTGAAAAGGATGTTCAAATCATTGTTGTGATTGTGAAAGGCTTCCCAATGCCCTGGAAACAAAGTGGTTGGGTGTTTGGAACAACCACGCCGATCCAGAAATAACATATTTGTTATTTTGAAGACGGTGTGGGGTCGTCATTAGACCTACGCCTTGCAACCCCCTTGATGTCAATGCCCTTGTTTGTAAGAACGGTTGTTTCCTTATCTATTGTCTGTTCAACCGAGCCATTAGTTGTGATCGTTGTTGCCTGTGAGGTTTAGTAGGCCGATCTACAACTTTTTGCCCAAAATGTTTGGAGACGGGGTGGGGTCGTAAATAGAATACCGCTTGCAACCTCCGTGATGTCAATGCCCTTGTTTGTAAGCACGGTTGTTTCCTTATCTATTGTCTGTTCAACCGAGCCATCAGTTGTGATCGTTGTTGCCTGTGAGGTTTAGTAGGCCGATCTGCAACTTTTTGCCCAAAATATATGTGCTGCAGCCTTGTATCGAACAGTAGTGGTATATGAAGCCTGCGTCTTTAAGTACCGATACTGAATGCACTTCTGAGCGGCATCCACAGCAGATAACTGATGTTGCCTAAACTTTCCGGAGGGAAGATTTTTTTTACGTGTTTATTTTTTTCTTAATTCCTATAAGTAGGTTATAAGTCTGTTAGAACCATGCTTGATAATAAACGTAAACTATGTGCTTTATGACTCGATTTATATGACAAAATGTGCGACGCGTGACGGTTGAGATGAACTTCAATTTCTCCTGCAAGGTATGCTAAACAATCGATGGTGTACGATTTCGCCGTTGACGCACAATTGAAGACATTCCAACTTGTTCTGAGCTATCGTACGGAAACAACTTCTGAAGCTTAAGGAAAAAGCGGTGAGCGTGCAGGCAACCTGATGGATGTTGATTATGTTGAAAAGTACCAAGAGTGTGGTAAAAGATGGGAAACGTCGTGAAAAAAAAGGACATATATAAGAAGGGCGTCTCAAAGTTCAAACGTCTCAAACCACAGACTCCGGTAACTTTAAACATTCTCAAGATTCTTACTGTTGAGGCCTTTTCTACGCGGATTATCAGTGATAAAGCCGACACCCTTACAGGAGACGCCAAGAACGCTTCTACTGACCCAACGCGTAAACACGATGTGATGCGTCTAGTGCATCACATGATGATGCACCAGACGCATTAGGGTGCGAAGTCACTTAGATCGGATATCAGTAAGTGACCGTAAATGGATGACCAAGTTTACAATTTTATATAGTTCAGAAATGAATTTCTAGCTAAAATAGTGCTTATTACGTTTAGATAGAACTAAAAAAAAGAAAGAAAGACGCATACAATTATTTCTAACTCCGAATTAGAGCGCAGCTCTTGAGGACGAGGAGGGAGGGGTGCGGAGAGGAAGGTATGCCCCTCTTCCTTCCCCGCTGAATTTAGCGAGACAATTTTTCCGCTCAATTCAGATTGAAACTTGTACCCTAGTGACGTGACACGTGACGTCAAACGTGACGTCACGAGGGTAACATTAGCCCAAAATATTTTTTCGCCAAATTCAATGTTAGATGCGTGTGACGCCACGTGACCCTCGTGAGGTTGGCGATGGTTATTCTCACGACGGTTACAAGGGTTACGCCCCCCTTGCCCCCCCCCCCCCCCCCCGAGGGTTACCCTCACGAAGGTCACGAGGGTAACGTCACGACGTTATCCTTGTGACACCACACGCGATGTCACGTGTGACGTCATTACAAAAGACGTCCCATAATTCAATTCGCGGTTACGCTGACTGCGACGCCGCTGAACCCCAAAGCGGGGGCTTAGAGCTGCGCTCTAAAAAAACTCGCGATTTTGATTGGCCGTGCACCCAAATGTTCGTGCACCGAAACGTCCGTGCATCGAAAAGTCCGCACCGAGACGTCCTACATCAAAACGCCTTACACCGAAAAGTCCTAGACCCGTCTGGTTCCGTCCGATCCGCTAACTGCCACCAAGGACCAACGCAAGCCCCTTCCTCCGGACTACCAAGAAGGAAGAAGATCCAATCCAGCATCAAGTACATTACTGGTTCTTTTGCGGTCGAGGGTCCATTGTGTGTAACCATTATCCTTCGTCACAATTGGCCTCAGCCTGTTGAAGGTGGTTTATACTTTGCGTAACATGACCTTCGCCACTTCCTTTGCCATCAAAACTTCGCTTCGACTACTCGGGACCTTGCAGTGCCCCGCGTTCGGGCCTCGGCATTCAATCTCGAATTTATTGTTTTGCTTGAGTCATGATTCCATCCTGATGATGCAGCAGCCAGGTAGTTCTGGCCCGGGTGATTTAAATCAGACCCTCGCTGAGAAAGTTGCTTCCGCGACTCGGTGACTTCTGATTGTGGATTATTATTATTTGGTCTTGGGCACTTCATTTCGGCGGTAAGCACGTTTAACTGGACGTGTATCTTATTTAGTACATATTCCAGGTCTTACGGCATGCGTGTGGCGTTGGGTTTCCAGGTGGTTTATGAGACTGATTTGCCATCCGCGTGTGACCCAGACACATCCGTCGTTTCTTTCTGATTAGGCTTATCGTCATTGCGGTGTCGTTGGGCATTGCATTTGTACGAACTTTTTCTGGAGACATGAAAATGTTACATTCTTCAACGCCTAGTCTAATACAATCACAGTGTAATTTCACCTTTCAGCCACCCAAACACGCGAGAAATTGACGTTGCCACCAATTTTGTTTTGATCTGCAACCACACACGTCCTTCTTTTGCGCCATCTTGAATCTGACTGTAGCAGCTGAGCTACTAGCGCCTTTGTTTTTCCTTTAGTGCTCTGAGCTGCAAGTGCAGCTGGTATGGGTGTCTGGTAATATACTCAAAGAGCAGGCGATCTGGGGACAATTCATCTTGGATAAACCTGCCTCGAGGTTTTCCGAAGATGGTATAAATGTGTCAATAAATATATATATTTTTTTTCTATTGATTTTTATACTAAAGTGCTCGCGACGGTGGCAGTTTTTCGGATGACAATTTATAATGAAAATAACTACTAAAAGTAAATAAAAACAAATATCAAAGGTAAATAAAAATAAATAAATATTATAAAATAATGGGTAAATAAAGATTATAGACAGATAAAAATTTAGTACATATGCGAAAAATAATAATAATATAAACATAAACAAAATAAGATAAATAAAAAATAATAAACTAGATAAAAAAATAAGATAAATGCATGAAGATAAAAACACATAAATAAATGAAGAAATAAGTAAAACTATGTTCATAAAGTAAAAGTATATGAAGACAATAAACGAAAAAATAGACAATAAAAATAATGAACAATCTAGCACTAACGACCCACACGGCACATGTGCAACCAAGCGCGAAAGACACAGACGGCACATTCGCCGCGCAATCTGTGCCCCTGGCCTTTGTCAATGTGATCAAGCCTGTATAATTTTTCGCCCCTGTGCAATAATATGCTGCTATAACCTCTTTGACACGTCCATATTATTTGGATATACCCTCATAATCCACTGCAGTCTTGCTATCCTAATCCTGATTAGAATTAGCACGGATCCGTGCCTCTTGTTTTTTCCTAGAATTTATATAATTTTGAACCCACTTAAGCTAGTATTGCCGCATTTCTTTACCCATTTGTTTTTCCTAGAAGCCTTTTGACGTCCCGCTATGGCTGTTTGAACTTAATTCTTTATCCGACCAGCTTTTCGAATTAAGTTCTATTTTTTCCCACTTTGCTCGAATCAGAACTTCCCTAACTTTCTTTAACAATGCTTACTAAATTTTCATATTGTCATATACTTTCTCTTGTTGCTTGTGAAGATGACCTACCCCGAGTGGGCACCGGCTAGTCACGGTTTCACGTGACCATACGCAACGTCATGATAGGCTGGTGCCTGGTTGAATTGGGGCATTTTCCAGATGCGTCGTACGCCCTTCGCACGTTTTGCGGGCATGCGTACACCTTCACATGGTCCCCAGATGCTATCGCCGCTTCAGGTAAAAAAAAAAAAAAAACTGACGTCTTTTTTATAGTCACTGATGACGTGAAATCCGATCTGCAGCCGTGCGTGCGACGAATTACCAAAAAGTGGTTCCAGCAGGCCACGGGAAATCTACCACGCAGGAAGCTCATGTGCATTAGGCTCTAGAGAAAATATGCCGAGTCGGTGGACTACCTAAAAAGAAACAGTATAACTTCTCGCTAACTGGATTATGGAACAGGAAATCGGACCAAATTTCTTGCTGAAAACTAAAGAACAGTTTGCAGACTATTGTCTGCAAACTGGATTTCAGGTTTCCAGCAAGAAGTCCAGTTAGATTTATTGTTCCATAATCCAAATAGTGAAAAGCTATACTCTTTTTCTTTTTTCTCGGGGGTAGTGGACTTACCTACTGACATCTGAATGGCCGTTATCTGCACCAAAAAAAAAAGAAGAGAAAAAAAAATGGCATTTTCATCTCAGCAAGAAGATATTGCATACGGACGAGATTGCGGCGCCTACTGCTATCTGAGTCAGCCTGATCATGCATAATAACTGCGCGCTATCGATACACACCTGCTGGCGTACGCACGTAAGTTATAATCACTATTGCATGCTCGTGCATATCGTGAATGATTTAAAAGCCGCCAGGTATAGGCGCCCAGAAAATGGAAACATCTTCAACCGCAAGAAGTTGAGCAAAAAGTGTGGAAGCCAATCTCATTTAAAGGATCCCAAAACACGGATATAAGATATGCCTATTGCAAAGAGCGAAAGTATGCAGGTAAGCTGGTTAGATCCTAATCTGAACCCTGAGACAAGAAGAAATGAAATAACTGACAAGGCGGCTTGACTCAAGGTTTTAGATTAAGACAGGCCTAATCGGATACCCGGGGCCACGGCTCTTCAGTTTGTACGCCATGTATCATTGCCAGTTCAACGTCTCGCGGCGAGGAAGCACCACCTGTATCTTTCTGTCTGTGCTTGGTTGTTTCCGCTTATGTTGTCTATGACTGGACATGTTTGACGTCCCGCCGAGTATTGAGCATGTCTGGATGCGTGTGAAAGCAGTTGCCAAGTTTTCTTTGTGTTCTTCTTTCCAGTTTGGGATGGAGGCTGCATTATGGATGATATGGATATTCGCTTCCACTTTGCTCGCAACATGCGGTGTGATCTGGGTGCTGAAGCGGCGATACCGCCATGGATTCTTCAAGCGTCTAGGCATCCCTGGTCCGGAGCCCGAGCTCCTTTTTGGCAACTGGCAGCAGCTCAGGAAAGACAGAATCAATGTGAGTCCCGGACTTGCCATTATTTTCTGTCGCCTGAATTCGATCTTATGGCTGCCAGTAATCAAGTTTTAGGTAAGCGAAAAGAAAACGCGAGTGCAAACAATATGGAGGAGATTAAATACAATAAATTTACCCAACACTGACTCTTTCTAAAGGATGACAAAAATACGGAGAAGTGTCAATCACAGCTCAGTTTTATGGAACAGAGGGGCCCTGTGGCGTAGGCGTTACACAGCAAACATAGAAAGGAAAAACACGAAGCTATCATTTGCGCGATTACACAGCTGTTAAAAGTAAAATATCAAAGTCAAATTTTTGGGTTTTACGTGCCAAACCAACGACGGGCATCTGGCACGCCCCAAAAGTGAAATATACTTGTGAAAACAGTTTTTCTTTCGCTTGTTTGTCTTTGATGTGCGTTTTCTATTTAAGGGTCCCATCTGTTCATTGAATTTGTCTTGTGTTTGAGACATTTTTGTTGGTGTCGTTTCTTAGAAACTACGGATCTGGTAAAGTCAAGCCGCACAGTCATAGGATGAATCTTTTTTTTTTATTCCATTGAGAACCTAATTTTTTTTTATATTTTCTAAAACTTATCCTACAGCATCATTAAACCACCTGGATAATTTTAGAGCGTTTGTTTCTTTTTTAATTCTTTTTTTGCCAATCTTTTGACACAAAGCGCGTCAAAGTTTGTCTTTCTCAGTGTATGCGTACATTTTTCTACACACAAAAAACCGGTAACCAAGATAGCTCTTTGCCACAGTTATTTGAAGGAATTTTGTCTAAGTTTTTCACACCTGGCGTACTCCTGACTCGTATACTCTCCTCTCAAGTTACCACCTGTTTCCCTGCACTCGATCGTGCCTAGCCTATTCCTTTCCTTTTTTTTAACTATATTTCTCTCGTTTTGCCCAAACAGGTTATGGAGGATTGGATTAAAAAATACGGAAAGATTTTTGGCTACTTCAAGGGGGCGGTTCCTTTCTTCATCATCAGCGACGTAGAGATGATCAAGCAGTGCGTTGTGAAGGAAGCGCAGACTTTCTACGACCGTCCGGAGCCCAGCATCAGCATACAGCCCTACATTCAGACTCTTCTCTTCCTCAAAGGTGAGCAGTCTCAAGCGAGCGCTTAAGTACTATTTCCGCACTGCGAAACAATTACTACGTCTAATATTGTCACGTCACAGGCGCGACAGTATTAAAACATTACAAGAAACGGCTACAAAAAAAAAAAACGAAAACTCTTTAGCGATGTAAGAATAGTAGTTGGAATAGAATACCGGTGGCCTCATTCAAAGCCTTCACATTGAAAGAAACAAGTACGGTATATCGAACTTTTTTCTCGTGTTATATCTAGGGATGACGCTGCGCTACTCGATTTGAAGCACTATTTGCACACCTCTAAAAACGTTTTAACTGAACCTCTTAACACTTTTTTTTCCTCAGCGCAGCCGCATGCTGCGACAGTCAAATAACGCGCGCAATAAATATACAAAAGGATTAAAAAAAAATAAACATAGAATAGTCAGATTAATTTCTGGTTTTAGCTGTACACCTTTCCACCGCTCAATGGCAAGCAAACCTGTGTCACAGGGCTGTGACTGATCAGCGGTGCAGAGATATTTCAAAGAAGATAGCTGATGTGCATGCGTTAATTGAGGTTCATATCCCAGTGAACGAAGATGGCAGCTTGCAGAGGGCCGCAGTCTTGTGCACGTTACTAAAAAAAAAGCAATCGATTACAATTACTATTACTCTTGGCTAAAAATTATTCGATTAGATTACTTGATTACTCGACGGCAAAAGTAATTGGACATTACTTAAAGAAGTAATTGTTACTTTTCCGATTACTTTATTGTGTGAAGACACATCTTTAGCGCTCGTAACAATTAAATACTTCCAACCTATATTTCACATTTGCAGAAGTATTGAAGAAGAGAAACTAGCTCCCTCTTCGTGGTCGTTGCACCTTCACAATGCGGACACAAGCATAGAATTCGTTTGAAGACGTTTAATGATTTAGGCGTTCGCAGTGTCTGTGTGTGTGTCTGTGTGCGAGTGGGCGAGCGGAGGAGGTTCTAGATCTTGTTAAGCTTGAGCAAGGGTTGTCGCTCGAAGTTTGCGTCGCTCATTTTATTATTCAGATGTGGATGAGCGCGCAAGTTATACAAAAGAGCAGCTGCTCCAGGATTTGAAACGGATCATGTGTAGTATCCACTAGTGGAAGAGATCGCCCCGACCACTTCTCAACTCGAAACATTGCTTGTCACAAAGCCCACGTAGGGGAAATTGGGAAATATTTCAACTGCCTTTGTCATATTTTTCATCCGCTTTAGGCATTCTTCGGTTCTGGTTCTCCTACGGGCTGCGAGTAGGTACCCTAAGCAGGATTTTTTTTAATTTTTTTATTTCTGTGTGTGTGTGCGTGAGGGGGCTAGTTTGAAGGAAGGACTCACAAAGCTACATTCCGCTTCCTTAAACTTCGCCCTGAATGGCCTTTGTCACGCACTGTGGCTTCCCTGGAGCTTCCCACTCCCAATCCCAGATAAAAAACAAACAAAAAAAAACGGACATTCCACAGAAACTGTACATAGAAAGAGATTGACTTTGTTTCCTACAGCTCCGCAAAATCTTTCTTTTTTCCGTTCGAAAAAAAAAAAAAGCAAATTTTGTTTTTGTCATTTCATAAAGAAAAGGCGTGTGCCGGGGGGGAAGGGGGGGGGGGGGGGGGGGTCCCGTGGACAAATTGTAACGGTTAGAAGTAATTTTATTACTTCAAAAAGTAATCAGATTACTCTTCTGAATACTGCCTAATAAAAGTAATCAACTGATTACAAAATTACTCCAAAAAGTAATCGATTACAAGTAATTTGATTACTTGTAATGCGTACGGTACAAGTCTGGCAGAGGGTCATTCGTCTCACCCTAGGTCCGAGCAGAGCCGATGTTTCGAGTCGACGGTGCCAATCAACCGGTGCCCAAAACGCGACGTCACCACGTTCGTCGTCTTTATCTGCCTGGGCTGTCGATTGGCAAAGCAATAAAGTATACAGTGCCAGCGCCGCGACCTTTCTTCTCGCCGTTAGCTGCGCCCGAATGTATGGTGCAACACAGTAGAGTTGAATAGTTACATAGAAATCACATTATAGCTACGCAAGAAAAGAAAAGAAAATGTTCCGCACTCCATTGCAGACGTGTCGTCACAGTTCTTATCCGGGCGACTTCCACGCCTCTCTTCTCAAAGTGTTAGTGCGTCGTCGTCGCGCTAGCTTCACTCTATTATGTCGACGCAGGTGACGAATGGAAGAAAGTGAGGACGTTGATGAACCCCAGCTTCACATCTGCAAAGATGAAGCTGATGACGCGCATCATCGACGCCTGTGCGGACGAGATGCTGGACGTGTTGGGTCGCAAGGCCAAGGAGGAGGCCCCCGTTGATGTGGGCAAGGTCTCCTGCGGATTTTCGCTGGACGTCATCGCCAAGTGCGCTCTCGCCTGGCAGGTACGCGAGGCACTACCTCCGGGAAAATGCGCTCCGAAGAAAGCGCGCCTCTCTTTTCATACAGAACACGCGGGAACTCAATCACCGCGATTGACGCGGGGATAAATCCACATTTAATTATTCGCGATTTACGCAACGCTGCTACGCCAAGAGGAAATTTTCGTGCGAAAGTGGCTCGGGGGCAGATATACCAACATGCACAAATAAGTTTACATACATCGAAGAGTTATTAAACTCCGCTATCAGAGAAGACAAATCATACCTTGGACAAGAAAGCATTACTCGCAATCAAGTTCATCGAAAAATATTAAGAATATGTGAATCGAAAGCATTGATACAAAATTACTGGGTAATCGATTCGATTCTAGAACTGTTTGAGAAGCAAAGAGGGGAGTGTTTAAAAAGACAAGTCCAGACTAAAACATTAAGTGACCTAATAATCAACTCCTTTAGGTGACAGCTGACGTAACACCCAAGGTGCTCGCATTGTCCTCACCTCCGCCGCTCGTAGGCGATTCTTCATCTACTTTTCTTCCATAGATAACAGTGATTATTAGCACTCGCGCTTTCTCTGGCTACACTAATATTTGGAAAATGTATAAACGTGCCTCTCCTTTCTCGCAAAGCGTTTGTATAACCTGTCACTGAAGTTTAGGGTGTCGAGTCGGGGTTGAGGAGTACGTATACTGACTTTACCGTAAAATAAAGTGTGTAGCGTGAGGGGAAGAACGACTTATATTTATCCCGCTCGGTGTCACATCAAATACCTCTCTTTGTGGTTTGAGATGCCGCTATACTTCGCCACTCCATTTGTGTCTGTCCGCAGGCGACGCTGCAAAGCGATGAGTGCAATCAAGTCGCGTTGTCACGGCACCCATTGCCTTTGAGTGGTTACTATCACCGACAAGACAAAACAGGCGCAGTAAACCCGTTGCGATGTTGCGCACTCTTTTTCTTTTTATAAGCTTCACTCGTTTAGCCGATGATAGCAAATCCACAGAAACGACGAGGGTCGTGACGATGAACTTTTGCTCTGCTATATTGTCTCTATCGGTTCGAAGTAACGCGGCTGCGTTCCGAATTAATATCAAACGAATGTTCGAGATGCCCTACCGATCGCATGATTTCACTCATCGGCTGCCCGATTGTTTAGCAAGAAGTCACAACGCAGGGCGAAGCGGGTCCCGAGCCACGCAATTATCATCGCTCCACATAAAAAAAAAGTGCAGATATTTCTATAAGGACGCCGCAAGAGGCTTCATTGGGTGTCAAACGCATGCCCATGATAAGGTACTCGCCGCTTTTTTATAAATCTGCCATTGGCAAAAGATTCACGATCAAACATTATGCAGCCTCTGGTTATCCCGCTACCTGAACCAACCTATAGTCTCGTCAAATCTGTTTCCAGTAGTTCGTTCATTGCCCAAAATATGTGTTATTTCGTACGGGCTAGAGTCGCCGACGACGTAAGATTGGCATGAAGAAGCTTCATTTGTTCCGCCTCTAGCGAGAGATTCTTATTTTCATCAGTGCATCGGCATCTCCTTCACACCGAGCGCGCTCGTGCAGCCGAAGCACTGCCAAAGGCATCGGCGACCGCTGGATGCCGGCAGAGTCGTGTATGAGAGAGTTTGGTCAATGGGAGGCGCAGGCAGAGGCAGGGCGTGCACCAGACGCAGAACGTAAGCTTGACATGCATTCGTGGCGAACCAGGGGGCTACGTTCGACAAATGTTTCGTTTTTCCTAAGAAGAAACGGAAATGACGGAAGTGACGAAATCGCGTCCGATTGGTTAGAGACTCAAATGACGAAAGAGGGAACTTTCGTCATTTGAGCCTCTAACCAATCAGACACGATATCGCTAATTCCGTCACTTCCGTTTCTTTTTAGAGACGAAACCTTTGTCGAACACAGCCTCCCAGAAGCCAGAAAGAATCCCCTAGTGGTAGTAGCGAGAGACTGCTCTAATCAAAGGTTTATGTTGGTATATGGTTTTAATAAGCGCGTAAGAGTGAAGTGTAGTAACCCTTCATGGCGTAAAATAGGGTGCACGTGATGTTTCGATCATGATCATGCAGAAAGATAATAAGAAATGAATGTGCCGCTTAACTCTGTTTTGCTCGGACAGTGTGTGACCGCTCGGACGGCAGATTCTCGGCCCTGGTCGGTTGGCGTACGTATTAAGTTGACTGTTCCGCTAGTTGCGCTCTTCCACCATGATTTTGGATGACCGTGACTGAAACATCACGTGCACCACACTTTCAGTTACCGAGCGCTACTCCGACGCACTTTTTGAGTTTGGCTCTCGCGACCACCGCCAGGGTATTATTTCCGACTTCTGGTTGGCCATATTCGATTTTTTCAAAACGCCCTGGAACACTACCAGCCCGCTTTCGGCCAATGGCGCATCCTCATTTGTCTCCTATACTTCCCAACGAATGGCCAAACTCTCTACATATAGGGCTCTGGATGCCCGGTGTACGAAAGACAAGCCCTGCCCTTCTCACTCCGTTAGCGATTATAGTTTTGATAAATATATAATCTGACCGGTAAAATGTAGACACCACATTTTACATTGATTAGATGGTTCTTTACTAGATGGCTGTTTTGGAAACAACCGACCTACGAGCTTGTTCCCCAAAGCGTAACATCTGTCGGTATCTGTTGGAGGATTTCTAGCGGTATGATTACATACGACACTCACGTACCGATATAAGCAAGGACTTACGTAATCGCTGATAACGCCGAGTTAAACCAATAGCACCTCGATAAAAACATCTTCGGCCACTTGAGGTTGCGGTCCCAGGGGCACCATCTTAAACAAGGCTGTAGTTCAACCTCCAGGACGGCGATGCACGTCCGGTCAATACAACGTTACTCGAACAACAGTACGGAAACTGCCATAAAGCCTGCCTTGAAAACGTACTCGAGAAGTCAGTACTCGGTACTCAGATCAGTACTCGAGAACAGAACTGAAGGCCATCGCAACGCCGCCATTTCTCCCGCACCAGCCACTCCGGGAATCGCACTGGTGCACGTATTATTTCTGGTCGAATGGTGCAAAAGCCGGTGGCGCCATTTTGCAGTGCCATTTCTCAGTAGCCATAAAAATCAACTTTCATGCCTTGACTCGTCTTTAAAAAGTGGCGCTGTTATCTCATTCTGTTTGGTCTCGGAGGACGCGAATGGTCCTGGTTTCAAGGGTGAGTTTCCCAGCGGGGTGCTTTAGTAGCGTTTCTTCGCGAGCATAAATGTTAGCGCACGACTCCGGCATTCCATCTTTCACGTCTTCATTTCTCGGTGGCTGCGTGAGGTGGCTAAGCTCAACCTAGGTTCGCGCTGTCATTCTGTTCAGGATATTGGCGGCCGTGTCTTTCGCGCTATCTTAGATAAATTGCCTCTATTATGACTAAAGGACTCGATTTTTTTTTTCTTTTGATTTCTGGGGGGGGGGGGGGGGGGGGGGGGGGTACAGGAACTGCAATTTTTCTCGTATGGCGGATCGAATATTTTCGTACTTTTTTTTCTTCATACAGTAATATAATATCTAAGATGGAATGATACTTACACGAAAAAATCTAAAACGTATGTTCATAATCATGTGGGGCACCACGACAGAACAGCACACGACAAAACAGCACGCGACAAAACAGCACGGTCAGAACAGCACGCGTCAAAACAGCACAGCGTCAAAACAGCACAGCGACAAAACAGCACGCGTCAAAATAGCACGCGACAAAACGGCACGGCGTCAAAACAGCACAGTGTCAAAACAGCAAAGCGACAAAACAGCACAGCGTCGAAAGGGTAGAGTGACAGAAGAGAACTACGCCAAAACAATAGCGCGACAAAACAGTACAACGTCAAAACAGGACAGTGAAAATATAGCTAGGGTTTGGGCTTTTCGGTTTTTATTATTTTGAAATTCGGCATACTTTTTTCGTTTCTAATTTCAAACAGAAGTGTTCGGTTTATTGCGATGTGTATTTGTAGACTCATAAACATCTCGGTTCTTTTCAGTTTATTGACGAAAACCAGTATGCTGACAAAAATGCAATAGTTTTTAAAAGCGTTTGTTTAAAATGTATAGTGAGTAAACCATGTACTGGTTTTCTTATTTGTTGCAATCTGTGGCAGCCGGCGGGACCTGTTCTGCCAGACGCACTGGGGCCCTAATGTGATCTGCCATTATTGTCGTGTTCTCGTATTTTTACACATGA